AAACTTTTTATATGAAATGAAGCTGGAAAAAATAGGTCACTTTCCTGAGAAAGCTGGTAAGGATTACATCAATCTTCTGAAGGCCAGCAGAGGCACGCTGTGTCACGTAACCTTTCCCTTCACTGAGTATATAATACAAATCCACTTGACAATATATGCTTTACACGGGCCTTATTGTCATGACCTAATCTCTCTATTTCTGGTGTATGGCATTACGAAAAAGAAACAGTTGATTCTGAATCTGCATCCAAATTACCAAACCATTGATGGAGCACATGGAAGCTAAGTTTTCCCTTACATATCTTGCATAACTTGTATGTGTTATGTTCCACATAGCACAGCAGGAGTGACCACTTCATGGCTAGTCATTGTGTGTCAATCAATGTAGACTATACCTCGAGTTGCTGAGGTGAGGATAGTTCGTTATCAAAAAAATGAAGGGCCAGCATCTATTTATTTCCTGATGCTTACCTAGTTCTAATGCTTACATTTCATGCTGCTGTGTTAGAAGATCTCTATCTTGTTTAAGAAACAAAGCCAGATAAGTGCAAAAGTGAGTGGTAGGAAATGCTACCATGAGATCACAAAGGGCTTTTGTGTTTATGCATATCTATACTATGTATATTCATAAGTATTTGTTTTATATAAACATACACCCACACAAACACTCTGTGTATTGTATACATCTCTGATATCTAGAACTGCTGTGTTGCCAAATCTATGCTCTCCTGCCTTTAAAGCCAAGTGTCTTATTACCATCAATGCCAATCCGTTGACATCCTTCAGAAATGTGAGACATCCCCAAAAGTTGCTGTAAAAAAAAATTGCTTCTGAACATTAACATCAGAAAAGCTGTTGGAACTTCAGGCCTGTCTGTGGCAGACTGCAATTGGTAGGCTCCAACAGTGGTGTCCTACAAAGATGTAAGTATAAGACAAAAAGTCAGTCTTAATGTGAAGCAGAACGCGAAGAGAGGGGGAAAGGCTTCCGTATTGCTGACGTATTTCTGCTGTACGCAGTGTGTATTTATTATCACAAGAATTCCTGACCTTCAAACTAACCCTTCACCTGGAAAGCTCTGAATAACAAAATTATAGATTTTGTGATAAACAGTTTTCTGAGGAAGATATCCATCAGCTGGCTCCTCATATGCACTCTTATCTGTTCTACAGTGCTTGACTCACACGTCCACTCTTATCTGTTTTTAAATGGTTAACTCACTCGTGTGTATTAGAAACAGATTCATTTCTGTTTCATACAGAAATAAGTGTAGATATGCACGTGTGCTTCCTTTGGAAGAAAATATAAGGAGAACTTTTTTTTAATATTAAAATAGAGGACACTCCCTTTTTTTGCAGAGCACTGTATGTTAATAGAAATACTGGTAAGAAAAGCTGCTGCCTAAGAGAAACAGCAATAAACTGCAGCACAAACAAACAAAACCTAACTGCTGACAAGAAGTTCAACTACAGTCAAGTTATTAAGACTGAAGACAGCAAGATGAATACCTCTTCCTTTCTGATTCCTGTTTTCACGTGTCTGTCAAGCAGAACCACTAGAAAACCAAAAGCTTTGGAGACAATGCACCATGGATACTGTGGCTTTACATACAGGAATGGGAAATGTCCCCAACAGAACAGAAAGTGCACTTTTCAAAATACAATACACTTTACAAAATACAATATTGTTAACAGGCTAACACTTCTGCTCGTGCTGCAGCCTTCTGGGGGCCTCAGTGAGCACAAAACTAATTCTCTCTAATGTCTAAGAAACTGATGTCACTCATTCAAAAATGAAATTAATTTAATGCCTTATAATTTTATATACAAGCCACATCTGTGTTCATGTTTGCAGAGTATATTCGGATCCTTCCACTGTTGTGGTTTTTTTGGTTGTTTTGTTGCTTGTTTCTTTTAGCAATTATATCAGTAGTTTATGAAGAAAAATAACATCAGAAGTACCTAACCAGCCAAACCACAAATACTATTCCTTCCTGTCTGGTAATGAGTGATAATTCCACTATTTAGTTACTATTTCATACTTAACTTACAGTTTCCCTTTATGAATTTCCGTTTTCTTCTGTGAATGCCTCCTCCTTCCTCTGCTTGAATCAAAGAAAAGTAGACAGCATCACGTGGCACAACAGATTACTCCTGCCTTCAATCAGCCAAAGAAAAAGAAGTTTGAAAAATCCTTTTATTTTTATTAAAAATAAAAGATAGCAACTTAGCTTTTAACTTCATTAATAAAATAAATGTTCATAGTCAGAATGCTAAGTTAAAAAAATCCTTCAAGGTTAGGATTAAATATGCAATTATTGATAATGATTTACCACCAGCAGATGAACACAGTGGCCAGGGAGGTGATTGTCCCCCTCTGCTCTGCTCTTCTGAGGCCCCATCTGCAGTACTGTGTGCAGGTCTGGAGCCCCCAGAACAAGAAAGACGGGGAGCTGTTGGAGAGGGTCCAGAGGAGAGCCACAGAGATGGTCAGGGGGTTGGAGCACCTCCCTGCAAAGACAGGCTGAGGGAGCTGGGCTTGTTCAGCCTGGAGAAAAGAAGGCTGCGGGGTGACCTCATTGCAGCCTTTCAGTACCTCAAGGGAGCCTACAAGCAGGAGGGGAGTCAACTCCTTGAGAGGGTAGATAACTGCAGGACAAGGGAAATGGTTTGAAGTTGAGGGAGAGAAGATTTCGGTTGGATGTCAGGGGCAAGTTGTTTGCTGTGAGAGTGGTGAGGTGCTGGAACAGCTGCCCAGAGAGGCTGTGGATGCCCTGGCCATCCCTGGAGGTGTTCAAGGCCAGGTTGGATGGGCCCCAGGCAGCCTGGGCTGGTATGAAATGTAGAGGTTGGTGGCCCTGCATGTGGCAGGGGGTTGGAGCTTCATGATCCTTGAGGTCCCTTGCAACCTGGGCCATTCTGTGATTCTGTGATTCAGTATCACCAAATGATATTTTACACTTACAGTACAGAAACACCTGTGTTTCCCACTCAGATTGAACTGTTGGAGTGCTATGTAACAGCTTTTTACTGGCACAGTAGTAAGACAGAAGAAAGCAAAAATATTATCTTGAAAATAACTTTAAAGTTATAAAACGAGGAGAGGAAAATACTAGTAAAAAGGTAATATTCTGTGTGTGATAAAATTTGGTTGTGAAAGTAGCTGTGATATGTAGAAGCTGTTGAAAGAATTAAACAAATAACCATACAGCTATGAACTCATAAAAAATGATCTCAGCCTATCTGAACAAATTTAACATGTTCCCACTGAAAATGCTATTTTTGCAAAATGCTTCTCAAGTGTGTACTGCACCTCTGTGCTTGTGGTAGCAATGGTAATGGGAGGACGGTTGGACTCGATGATCTTGTAGGTCCTTTCCAACCTTGTGATTCTATGATTCTAAGTTACTCAGCATCTTCTCAAAAAATGGTGTGAGATGATATCTTATACATGCCCCCCTGCAATTACCTGAAAATAGTACTTTTTATAACACTAGCAGAATTCAGGTCTGTGATATTTGAAAAAGCAGAAGCTACTAGGTAACCCCACTAATAATAGTAATTATTTAAAAACCAAAAATCAAATCAAAAAATACCACGCAAACTTGCTTTACGCACGCATCATTAATGTATTAAATCTTATTTGGTCCTTTGCTTTCATTTTCCTGCAAGAACTGACAATTCTGTTTGCTGAAAGACACACTGGGGAAGATGTGTACTGGATGTTCTCAAACCAAACCAGGGCACACTTCAGTCTTTACGGGTGATACAAAGCAAAGTAGCTCCTGGAAACAGTGTTTTCTTTTTCTACAGAATTGCACCACAGAAAGGTGAAAGAGTCCCACTTATTACTTACGCTCTAACTTGGAAAAATGATAGGAAAAATTACTCAGATAATAGTTTACTCATAATGCAGTTACTGTAGCTTGCGTAAGTGTGGAGGACGCAGTGATGCCTGGTGGTTAGGAGACCAGACCATGTGTCAGGCCTTTATTCCTTATCTTGCCACTGCTTGCTGTGTGAACCTGAACAGTTGCTAAACATCTACTACATTTAGCTTCCCTTTCAAAGTGAGAGTAAGGTTGTGGTTTTACAGGCAGCTCAGCAAAGATATTGAATTGCTGCAAAAAACCCATGCTGACAGTATCACACTTGTCTTTTTCCTCCAGTTTTACAGAACATGAGGAATCTGCCAGAAAGGAACAAAAATTATGTGGCTACTGATGGTGGTTTTTTGGTTTTAAATGCATGCAAGCAAGTATTCTTGTAAAATGCAATTTTCTTAATTCTCATGGATACCATGCTCAGGGAGAGGCTGTTGCAAACTGCCGTGCAACAATGTTAGTAAGGAAGAGAACAGATTTCACAACAGAAGTACTGCTAAGGAAGCACAGGGAAAAAAAAAAAAAAAAAAAAAAAAAAAAAAAAAAAATAGTGCTGCTTTTTGTTGAGATTGAAAAGGAAATAAAAAGGAACTGAACTACAAGATAAAGAGGTAGCAGCATATGGCACTTGACATAGGCTCTTGGCCCTCCCCACGGAGGATCCAGAAGCCAAGCAGACGGTTATTTCAGCAGAGGGCACCAAAACGACAAGTACGTGTTAGTGCCTTCGACTTGCTCTGCCCTGTGAGCATTAAATCCCTGATATCCCCTCAGCCTTAGAATGGGTTTGTGACCTCGTTATGCCCTGACTTTACTTATATTGATTCCAATAAGTTTTTTATGTAAGTTTTTTTCTTGTGTTTTGTTTTGCGTTTCCCTCCTGCCTGGAAAGAGGTGGTGCTGAATGACACTGGAAGGTATACAGTTAAAGCAAGCAAGGCAAAGCAAGCAAAAAGGCACTAAAGAGTACCATGAGAATCTGTGACACTCTACCAGATCAGTCTGTAGGATCCCTCAATGTCAGTGGGACAAGGAGACTAATGAGATGTTACAGTGAAGTGAAACTGTTCTTGAGAAACCATCAGAGGGAAGTTTCTTACCTTCCTTGCCGTTTCTTCTCTTATTACATATTTTTTAACACCAACTGAAGCCACAGTGTATATTTATGTAATTATTTCATTCCTAGCAACCAGAAAACACAAATGTTAACTGTGCTGATATCAAATCAAATCTGTTGCACATAGCATCATAGAACTGTAGAAAGCTTTACACATTTTTAAACAAATACGATAACATTTGGAGAGTTACATAGCATTTTCTTGCTTGTGTAAACTGAATGGTAGAGAGATAAGCATTCATGAAGGTAACACGAATCTCACACTCATGCCCTTCACATTCCATTACACCACTAAGGCTTCTCTTGTATAAATGAAATCTAAACTTTGTATGTTACTACATTTAAGATACTGGGCGTAGCCTTCCACAGGGGAAAACTTTACTTTGTTTTCATCCTCTTATTACTTTACAGTAAGCATATATGACTGGTTCTGAAAGTTGCATCTGAACTTTCATTTGGATGATATTCAGCATTTTCTTTAATGAATATTTTTTACTTTTGCAGTTTTCACATTGGAAGGACACGCTTCTGTCTTCTGCTTCTGTCAGTGACACTTTATAAAACAGCAGGAATTTCAGGTTTTGTTAATGCATATATTTGCAATGGTCAAGCACACGGAACTGCTGAAGCTTTCCTCTAGTGTTATCTTTTATTTTATATCATATATGCAAGAGTCCTGCATATGTGAAAGAAAAGGAACATTTTTTTAATGCTTGAGGCCAGTTGGAAAAAATATTTATTTCTTTCCTTTCATTTTGATATCACAGGTTTCAAAATGAGAAAATTTCCACTATTATCAGCTTTATAGGTCACACAGGTAACTGAAATAGCAAACTGAAACACTGCCGACTCGTTAAAAACCTTTCTCTTTTATGCAGATGGCTACTGTGTTACTGCACTAAGATTTTATATGGAAAATAATATAAATTGAATAATCAAATTGATACTATTTCACAGTTGCATTGATATTTTAGCTATTTCTGTCAGTCATGTAGGCTTGTAGAGGGACTCATTTCTAATGAATCTGAAGGCTACTAGGTTGGCTACTAGAACTGTGCCAACATTAGCATCTCATTGATGAGAGGAACAAAAATAATAAAGATGAAATGGAAAACTGACACATGGTATTGTAGAATCTAAACTAATTTATGTTGTTTTTTGAGGACAAAATAATAATAAAATAATAATAATAATAGTAATAGAACAATGTGAATAAGTGAAGATAAATTACAGCAGAATTAAAAAGCTGAAATGAGATATGAAAACAGTAATCCTGAAAGCAAATATTTTCTGTTTCATATATTGAAGCAGTATATCATATGGGAAGTAATGCTGGATAAGTGGACAAAGTGAACCTTAAGAATAAACCAGCTATCTTGTGAGATCATCTCCTGAAGAAAAAAAAAAAAAAAGAGGGAAAAAAAAAAAGAATAAGAAGGAAGAAGCTCACCTACAAATTCCTGAATATTTAAAATCCAGGACAAAGAATAATGACCTAGAAGCTTTACTCTGATGAAGATTAAAATGGGTTATGAAATTCAGAGCAGTCATCTTTGCAATGTTACTTAACAAGCAAGGTCATTCCAGAGCCCTCTTCTCTAAACAATGCAGCACCGGGACACACTATGCTGTAATACGGAAATTTGTTGTTAATGAGTAAATACTGGTAACAGAATTTACTAAGTGGTAACAGAATTAAATGTTGAAGGCAAACATGAGTTACCTGAAATTAAAACCTTTCAATAGACAGGAACAATATATAGGAACTGACTATAGGAAGTAGTAGAAGGCTTCTGAATGAAGTACTGAGAACACAACTGAATAAAATACTAGGATTATGTACTCTGTACCACTACTTGATATACACCAGGAAGGAGGAGCACGTCTTTGGACCTCAACTGGTTCTAGTTTCTTCAACTTCAAACAAAGTTTGCATAGAACACCAACCATTTTAGCTCCTGGTGCTGGCTTCTGTGTCTGAACAAGATACTAGCAACTTCTGCAAGGTTCACACTTGTAGCATAACAGTTAAGAAAGGAACCTGCAAAAGACAGCAACTGTTGGTTCGAAGTTTTCTGTGATACGAAATGTTTAAAATAATAGGATGAAGTAGATATTCAAATTTATATAGGGTAATGTGCAGAGATACTGTTTCATAGTTCATTTGCAAGCAGAGGGGTTAATTAGATAGCAGTATGATGATTCAGATTTTTTTTATAATAAACCAGGCTGCAATTTGCCAAGTGGTCATATGAAAGATTGTGCTTCAAGAGAGACTCTTACATAATTTACACGGTCATTGCGAACAAGTGATCTTAGTGTGTCATTGTAGGAAGCATTAAAACATGAACATAATGATAAAAATGTAATAATGTACTGATCTGTGATCATCCCTGATTTCTGAATCTGGCAAACATTGACAGTCTTGGTTAAATCATTCATCAGGATATTTAATTGTGTAAAGATGGTACAAAGGATTTCAATGCTTACAAACACTGCTTTAGATTTCTGTTGTCCTTAGGCTTTCACAGCTCTTCTGTTGAGTTCTTGGACATAACAATAAAACAGCCATAATGCTTGAGATTCACAATTCCATATTAAAATGTGGAAGTTGCACTTCTATAGTTCACACTAAGACCCATAATTGCTGAAAGAAAGGACTAATTCATAAAGGTTTTTTCAGTTCTCTAGGCAATAGTGAAAAATAGGCCAAGGAACAGCTAATGGATTATTCAGAGCACACAATTTACACCCTAGGTGGCAAATTCATTTAGAATTGAGCCTGGCTAAGTTAAAAGTGGCCTTTGCAAAGATCCTAATCTTCCACGTTCATACAATGCCAAATGCCTGTTTTTAATATTATTTTATTCAAGCACTGATTCTTGAAAAGCATGAAGTTTTAATTATGTTGGTGGAAAACTCCAAATAGAAGTATGATTGAAAGTGATATTGTTAAAACCAGTAAGTGTGATAGAATTAATATTTAGCTATCACCAGCACAATTCTTGTAAAATTAATATGAGAATAATAGCAGTCTGCAACGAATAAAAGAGCCAGAAAGATGAATTGAATATTAAATTCCATATAAGCTTTCCCCATTGTCTAAGCGGCTCTAGGTATTTATTTCCAGGTCTGTCTGAACGACGTGGCCCTGCATCTTTTTGCAGGTTGCTATCTCGAGGCCCTGACTCTGAGCTTTATTATTCACAGAATCGCAGAATCACAGAATCACCCGGGTTGGAAGGGACCTCAAGGATCATGTAGTTCCAACCCCCCTGCCTAGCAGGGCCACCAAACATACACATTCAGATCAGGTTGCCCAGGACCCCGTCCAACCTGGCCTTGAACACGTCCAAGGACGGGGCATCCACAACCTCCCTGGGCAGCCCGTTCCAGGGCCTAACCACTCTCCTTGTAAAGACCTCACCTGACAGCACATTGCTTCAATGGTAGATGAAGGTCACACAGTCCTCTGCTGTTGGGATGTTGAACTGACAGAGCAGTGCACGTTCCTTGCAGTACCGTGAAGTGGTTAGCAATGCAAGGATTCCACGTGCAGCATCCTTACTGTATGCGCTGTACACCAAAGCCTTTCCTGAAAGGAGAATAACAGAAAAAGTATCAGCATGTAACTCTGTAAGTAAGACCTTTTAAAAGCACAACATCAGCTGCTGGTGCCTGTTGTAGCTCTGAAGGAAGAGCTGCACAAAACAAACCCCAAGCAGCTGCTGTGGCTCCAGCTGGACGCCCACGCAGGGACATCCCTGGGGAATGCCTTGGGGCCAGTGACCCCAGTGCTGGGTTTTGTATACAAATTCGAACAAATTCCATTGTATTTGATATCTCAGATCGTAATTCCATAGAACGAGAATCAGCTTGATGCTACACTGAAATATCCTGATGTTAAATAGTTGAATGTTCTGGGGACTAAATGTCCATCCGTTTGCGCTAACTAAATGCGGTAGTTGTCAAGAATATGTGTAAAATACTTCAAAATTTCTTCAGTAACCAAACTAGCTCCACAGAAGGGCTTGGTGGGTCCCCAACACACTGAATCATGGAATCATAGAACGGCCTGGGTCGAAAAGGACGACAATGATCATCTCGTTTTAACCCCCTGCTATGTGCAGGGTTGCCAACCACCTGACCAGGCTGCTCCTTGTTTTTGGAGGATGATGGACCTTCCCGGCAGCCAGCCCAGCTCTGTGCATTCCCGAGGACCTCCTGAACAAAGCAGTGCGCAGACATCTGAGAGTGCCAAGCTAGGGAACAGCATTTATTTATTTATTATTTTATTTTTAGGAAGAAAACCCGAGCTGTAAGGCCGGCGCCGGGGGGCTCCGAGCAGGAACGCAGCGTGCCCCGCCTGAGGTAAAATGGCGGGCAGGAGCCCGAGGGGCTTCCAGCTCACACAGCTCCCTAGCACGCACAGAACGCAACGAAGAGCCAAAACCTCGGTCCCGCAACCTCGCTGCGACTGCGTGAGCGCTGGGAACGAGGAAATGAAGTGAAAGAACGAAGGGGGGAAAAAAAAAAAATCCAACAACAAACCAAAAACACGCAAGGCAGGGAGCAGCGCAGCGGACGGCTCCCCCGCCCGGCATCCCCTCGCCCCGCAGGGCCTGGCCCGTGACTCGGCTGTTTCTGCCGGTTCCTCCTCTCCCTCCGCCCGCCGGGCGCAGGAAGGGGCGGGCGGCGGCGCAGGGAGGCAGCCGACGCACAAGATGGCCGCTGCTGCAGCGGCGGCGGAGGGGGTGGCGGCGGGGCGGCGGGAGCTGGCGGGGGGAGCCCGGAGCCGGCGGGTGCAGGAGGCGGAGGGCGCTGCGGCCGCCCCCGTGTGCCGCAGCTGAGGGGGGCCGGAGGCCGCCGCCGGGAACCCGGCCCGCGTGGTGAGTACAGCTTCCCTCTGCCCTCACCGCGGCGGGGAGCGGGGCGGCGGGGAGCGGGGCCGGCACCGGGGTGCCGCCGAGGGCGGGCGGGCCGTGCCCGCGTCTCGCGGGGTGCGGCGGAGGGGAGGGCGCGGCTCTCGGGCCCGCGGCGCCGCCCGTCTCGCTAAGGCCTCGGGCTTCGCCGGGCTCTATTTCCGAGCGCCCCGGGAGGGAGGTAGGGAGGGAGCCGGCGAGGCGAGGGGGGAGGGGAGGGCAGGGCCCGCCGGTTGGGTCCGGCCGGGGGGTGGGGGCGGGCGGCGTCGCCTCGGGCTGCGGTGGGGAGGGAGGGGGCCGGCGGCTTTGTGCGCGGCCCGCATCTGCTGCCGCCCTTCCCGAGGAGGACTGACGGCCATCCGCGCGTCGCTCGGCACGGCTCGGAGAGAGCGGCCCGGCGGCGAGGCCGGAGCCCCCAGCCGGTGACGTGCCAGCGGTCGCCCTTTTGTCTGCTGCCCCGAGGGCGGTGCGGAGCCGACGGCGGGCGCTTTTACCGCTTTTAAACCCTGCGTTATGTTACGATTGCGGCGTGATTCTCACGGTCGCGGTTTGCGGCCGGGTGCGAGTTGCGGTGGGAGTGCCCCGGTGTAAGGTTTTGTCCGCCAAAGCCGTCGTGAGGCGTGTTTTGTGTTAAAAGCAGGGAACCTCTGTGCTTTATTCCTTGGAAGCGGTAGGGCTGAGTTTCTCTGTACTTGTAACTCTAGGAGCTGCTCTCTTGTTTTGCAATTTCAATCAGTCATGAATGAAAAATCCTGCATGTTTTGTATTATGTGGAATATGGCTGAAATAAATAGAAAAAAAAAAAAGAATTATAAAAGAGCCAAAAATTGCTGTCATCCCTGTAACTGATTTAGCAGCACCGTCTTCTTATGGCCCTCCTAGGAAGAGAAGCACAGTTGTCAAACTGCGTTTGTATTCCATTCGTGCCGTAGGCCTACACAGAGCTGTTAGGTAGCTCTGCAGTGCTCCAATGCAGAACTTCACCTCTTCTTCCTGTTCCTGACCTCTCTTTCCCTTTAGTCTTACAAGGAGAGTGGTGCTAGTTGGCAAACTGTGCATCTCTACATTTGTGTGTTTGAGATCAGTGAAGCTGATGAAAGCCTTCCTAGCTGTGTAAATAGCCAGGCGCACCTAGGAGGTGTGTGCATGCAGTGGACAGTTTCAGTGCTTCTCTGCTAGAACCACAGAATGTGACTTTCTTTATTCTATTAATACACGACATGGATATGAAATTACGGTTTCCACTAACATAAATAGAAGGAGACTTTATCAGGTAGGCACCTTTGTTTTTCTCTGCAGTTGTTTTACCTTCCTGTTCTGCCAAAGCAGGCAGCGTGACGGGTTGGTTTGAGAGGAATTTAGAAATGAGAGTACTGTCATTGTAGTCTGTTTTGAAAACCAGAGTCTTGGGAGGCATGTCGAGTTTCTCAGTCAATTCTGAGCAACGTTAACACTAATGGAGATGAGAAACAGAGTTATTTGCATGTTTTCTGCGTTGTTGTTTTGTTTTGTCAGCGTTGTGTTTGAACTAGTTTAAAGGAAAAGTGATTTAGAGATTTGTAATATTATTGTATGCTCATAAAGGTATTAAAATATTCTAATGTACAGGTAAATGTGTGGATCCTGCAGTTGCATACACCGGTATGTCAAGGCTTAATTGAAGGGCAGCTTAGGACATACATATTACTGTATAACAGTACACGATCAGGTGAACAGAGATTAGCAGGATTGTTTTCAGAAACCTCTGCCCTGTTGCCAGTGATTCATCGGCAATCTGGGAGGAAACCACTCTTGTTGAATTAAGCATTGCAGATACTGAGATTCGGCAAGCGAGTGTATTGAAATAGCGACTGAATTTCTTTATATTTGATTCGGAGGTCTTGGGTGACGATGACCGTGATCACCCTTGATAATAATGATGCAGAGACTGATATCACTGATTATCTGGGGTCTCTATCTCCAAAGTAACTCCTGCTGCAAAGGGGATGTTTTTACAATATTTAACAAGTACTCATCTGCATTTACACTCATAAATGTGCATCCCCAGTGTCTGAAAATAGCTATGCAGTAGCCACTGTATGATGCCTTATAAGCAGAGAATCTTTTGTAAAAGTTGTTAATTTTTTTTTGGATAAGGCTGTTCCCTGTGTAAGATTCTTATCTCCAGTGGATTTAGTGAATCATTTGGCAGATAAAGCTGTGGTTTGTGGGTTGTCCTGTCCCATGCACACCCCAAGTTGGGGGACAGCCGTTTGCTGGAGAACCCCAAGCTGTTAGGCCATAAATTCTGACTCAGTAGGGGATTTATAGTTTGAAGCTAATGCCTTGCACAGCGTTTAGCAATGAATATTCAGCTATTATACAGAAATAAAGCTATGTTATACTGCTGTTGTGAAAGGTTTTTATATAAATGTTCTAATCCAGCTGAAATTTCAGAGTTGCCTTCAAGGTTACTTCTTTATAGGATATATGACAGTCAAGCAATCTGAAGTCCGCAGACTCACACTAACTGAGAAAGAAAGCCACGGGTATTTACCTCTGTTACTTTCCTTTCTGTAGAGACAGTTCTCAGTGTGTGCTGAGTTGAGTGCAGTTCCCATCACCCACTTTGGCCACTTGTTTTTCTCAAGAAGTGCTTCTGATGATATTATCTTCTGCATTGGTTTCAATTTCTTGGTTACAGTAAAAGCTGAAATCGTATTAGATTCCAAAGGGCTAACTGATTTCTGATTTATTTTTTTTTATTTGTGGAAATGTGTAACTGGGAAGAAGGTGAGGAAGCCCCATCACATTGTTGTAAGTAGATATTCTGACATAAAACAGTTGTCTGGTTTGAGTTGTTTATGGAAATAACTTCATCACTTCTGTATGGTAGAAACTTATTCTGCGGTACCAGTGAGAAAGGAAACTGATTTTTGTGTTTGAAAGATCAAGATTTCGAGGTCGTTTCTTCACTTGTACAGTTCCCTGTGCTGGAGTTGTTAGAGGAGTGTGTTTCATTCAAGGTTGCTTACTTACCTGGAGATTCGTTTTTTAATGCAGCAGGAAAGAAGGTGGGTCTGTGTGGACTGGGGTACTTCTGGCAGGTACAGGTGGCTTGCTGTGAGCAACACGGTTTGTGCAGGTGGGCTTTAGAAAGGCCATCAGCATCACAAGAGCAGGTGTAACTTGTGTTACCTCTGAGGAGGTGGCAGCTCCTGGCTCTGGCTCAAGCTTTCAATTGTGAAGAAGAAACTGGTGCCTTATTTAAATGAAGAATGTCATGTTTGTTTAGCTGCATTTTTCAGCACCATCCACTGACAACTGGGAAATCAAAACACTTTAATTCACACAGCAGAAAGCACTGCACATCTTTTACAGGCTTCCACCTGAGAGCTTTTGCTCAGCATGCTGTTAGAAAGCGTAAGGGCCACATGCACAAATACTTGAAGGGGGTAAATATTGTGTTGATCTGAGACTGATTGCACTTCAGCTACAGGACTACTGAAGAAACCAAGTGCATGGCTAGCTGCAGTAACTCAAGTACCTGCTGCTCTGGGAGAGCCTGCATCTTGCAGGTCATTCCTCATTCCTTTTCGTGTGGTTTATTTGTGTTCTAACAAACCCTGATTTATGGCCCCCTTTCACTGTGCTGGTTTAATACGTGTTTTTAGAAATGATGCTAT